GTAGGGATTAGGGGACCCGTTTTGTATCTACAGTTTACACAGAGTAGGCATATATATTTTCTATTAAGACGTTTTTTTCCGTTCAGCTCAGCCCCACTCCTCCCCCCTTTCCTTACCCCCCCCCCTCAGATATGCCTGAAAGAAACAGTTCACTTGGGTGACAGTGGGAAAAAAAACAGCAGTTATGTGTTATTTGGTTTGAATTTGTGACTAAGCTTTACATATTTTTTATAAAAGTAAAATCCTTCCTCATTTGCTCCTACACATCCTTAGTACCGACTGTGATTAATTATTATAATCCGATGTTTGGTTCATATACTTAGTTTTTATTCCAGGTTTTAAAACGACACACCATTTTTTTTTATTTGAGTAGTACATTACCATTAGTATATTTTACGTTAGAAGCTAGAGAAAAAAAATGGGGAACATAGAGTGATAATACGAAATACAAGCGCTGAACTGTGATAGTTGCGTCTCTTTCATTAAATTTCTGTTGGTGCATAGGCTCTACTGCAGGTTTAAATCTTGATTTAGTTTCGAATCCGGGTTCAAATCAGTGAAACGTCCCTGATTCCACCCAGCTCTGATGGGTACATAACTTACGTTAGGGAAACACAGGCGGCTGCGCATACTGCTAACCAGACTATCCCTTAATATGCCAAAGCCTTTGAAGCAGATGAACTATACTTCATCTGCCCCATGTGTCTTTGGGCACGAACGGAAAATGATGACACGTACACACGTTCACATATAAAAACATGCATATATATATATATATATATATATATATATATATATATATATATATATATATATATATATATATATATATATATATATATTTGTATATATATATATATATATTTGTATATATATATATATATATATATATATATATATATATATATATTATTCTTTCTTACTGTTCAAAAATCATATTCAGTTTGCAAGTAGCCTCAGTTTAATCGGAGCGTAAATGTTTTTTTTTTTTTTTTTTTTTGACAAGTTTCTATCACGCTGTTCAGGTATGCGCATCTTTTTATTGAAAAATCTAAACGTCCTTGAACCACGTAGCTAAAATACCTGTACACATGATCATGTGACAATTTCATGATTCTATAAAGCGCTTTATATTTATTAAGCTGTATACAGAGGTTTCGAAAAATAATTCAACTGAATAAAAATGTAACTTAAATTTTCGAAATGTTAAAACAATGTATTTGTGCATGTCAAATATTGTTCTAGGTGCTATAGGTACGTAAGGAAACGTACTTGGGATTTTAAGCTTAAAAATAGATATGTGATGCTTTATGTTAGTTCATTGAAAGAGGGAGAACCAGTAGCACTTATATGACGTTCACACGACTGTAACTTGTTGGAGATGGGTGGAGGCGTGGATAGGTGATTTAGGTGTCTAAGTTATTACCCACCCTTGTCAATCCCCCCCCCTGGAATTTCCTACCCCGACATTACGCCTTAGCCTTAGCCTTAGCTTTAGACTTAGACCAAGCCCACGCCCAAGCCCAAGCCCAAGCCCAAGCCTAAGCCTAAGCCTAAGCCTAAGCCTAAGCCTAAGCCTAAGCCTAAGCCTAAGCCTAAGCCTAAGCCTAAGCCTAAGCCTAAGCCTAAGCCTAAGCCTAAGCCTAAGCCTAAGCCTAAGCCTAAGCCTAAGCCTAAGCCTAAGCCTAAGCCTAAGCCTAAGCCTAAGCCTAAGCCTAAGCCTAAGCCTAAGCCTAAGCCTAAGCCTAAGCCTAAGCCTAAGCCTAAGCCTAAGCCTAAGCCTAAGCCTAAGCCTAAGCCTAAGCCTAAGCCTAAGCCTAAGCCTAAGCCTAAGCCTAAGCCTAAGACTAAGCCTAAGCCTAAGCCTAAGCCTAAGCCTAAGCCTAAGCCTAAGCCTAAGCCTAAGCCTAAGCCTAAGCCTAAGCCTAAGGCTAAGCCTAAGCCTAAGCCTAAGCCTAAGCCCAAGCCTAAGCCTAAGCCTAAGACTAAAACTAAGACTAAGCCTAAGCCTAAGCCTAATTCTAATTCTAATTATAATTCTAATTCTAATTCTAAGCCAAATTCTAATTCTAATTCTAATTCTAAGCCAAATTCTAAGATTAATTCTAAGCCTAATTCTAAGCCTAATTCTAAGCCTAATTCTAAGCCTAATTCTAAGCCTAATTCTAAGCCTAATCTGAACCCTAGCGTTAACTTTAGATGTACTTAAAGCGTTCACACGGGGGGAGGGGGGTTATTTCCTACTGGGCGAGTGGTAATTGAAAGGGGGTAATTACTCCGGGGGGGTGGGGTAATGTCTAGGGGGGGGGGGAATTCCCGATCGGCGTTAATTGTCCTTCAAGGTTGGTTATTGCAAAAGTGCATGCGGTAATTCTATTCTAGGTCGGAAACTGTTCACAGGATTTATAAATTATAAACTACGTGGTTTTAACGTTTTTCGGGAAAGTCGGGGACATCTTGAGCGGAGAGAGACCATTTTTATGACGGTGTGTGACTGGAATGTAAAAGGTCACGGTGTGGAGTGTTATGACATTTTAGTTAATTTTTTAAGAAAATGCTTAAAATGTGTTATAGCTAAGCCTTTTGTAAGGGACGAAAATCACAGAAACATGAACTTGAAAACAACTTGAGATTGAATTCTAAAAATAGAGGCTTGTAGTGTATATAGGAAGGTAAATCGGTCTACAATAAAACCAAGTTTGTTTTGCCCTATTTTTACGTTGTTTATGCTTGGCTATTTATGGTTGCACAGTCGAGTTGTGGCAGATACATATCGGTGTAGGATCTTCATAGGTAAGTTTTATGACACCTTGATAGTTATACATTTTATGATATATGTTGGATGTAGGGATATAGCTGGGTGTAGTGTATGTTTATAACATGCATTTCTGGAATGTTATTTACTAAGTAATATAATTAGTCATTTTATGTAAAAAAAATCATTCATAAGCATCTTATAAAATAATTGAATAATTTTTGTTTTTATTTTCATATATTTTCATAAAATTGAGGTCAACCATTTTTTAAAAAAATCCAACTTAATGGTTGAAAATGGAAGGCAAAAAAACAAAACAACGAAACCTCGTGCTGAAATTGTAGAAAAGAGGTGAGGTATATAAATGGTGCAAAAAAAAATAAACACTAGATTTAATTTGGCAGCATTAATCATACAATATCTGTAATTTTTCTACTTTTGTATTATTCCATGTGTTCTAAGTATTAGATGTATTTAAAACTGTATGTTTTACAACGAAGTATTTTTAAGCTCATTAAAAATAAAATATTTCATAAATGTGTTATACTTTTGCACTAACAAAGATCTTGAAAATATATTTTTGGAAATAAAAGCTTCATTTCTATCTACAGTAATATAAGCGAGTTTTTTTTTTATTCTATTTTTTTTCACGTTAAAACAAATTTGTGATTTAATACATAAGGGAGATTATGGGTTAGGAATTTCGCGAAATGTGTTTGGGGGGAAGGATGGTACAGTGTTGTTAATTCAAAAGGTGCGCTTGTCCTATTCAGTTACAGAAACCTGTTTTGTTTAAAAGCATTGAGAATAGCACGCCGTGAAGCGTCAAGTTTATAGACGGGGTGCAATGGTGCAGTACTTTGTATTGTTTGAATCCACCGGGTCATGTTCTACACTTATGCGCAGCATTTTCTAGAAAAAACATGTTAGCGTCCTAATGTTGGGTGAAGTTCAACGCATCTTTCGAAATATTACACTATAATGATATATACAAAGATATAACACTATAATGACCTCAACACTGAATTAAGCTAAACCAATTAAAATACAAACTGGGACTGCGTGGCGTAAGCGGTAGAGCACTATTCTGCTACACCTAAAGTCTTGAGTTCAAATCCGGGTCCTAGTCAGTAGTAGTAGTCCTAGTCAGTCCACCCAGCTCTAATGGGTACATAACTAACGTTAAGGAAAGTAAAAGCGGCTGAGCAAAGTGCTTATCACATCTAACCTTCATATACCGAGGTGAAAAAAAAACCACAATAACTCTACTTCATCTACTAATTGATCGCTAGGTGTAAAGATTTTCTACCTTTCACTTTAAATTAGTATTAAGTAAATTGATGAAAAGTTTAGACATAAATTATTTAATTCCTGTATTACAGCTATTTTTCTTAGCATTTTACTTTTGTCGAATACGAAGTAGGCCTATAGTGGAAGTATTGTAATCGTGCAAAAAATCGAAATCGAGATTTTCACAAATCTTGACGTTTTACACCCCCCCCCCCTTGAGTCGGAAAAACACATTTTGCAATTTTGTCCGTATATCTGTGTGTGTGTATATATAAATGCCCATGAACACGATAACTAGAGTACAGTTACAGCTAGGTTGATGGATTTCCTGTATAAGTATTAAATCAGATATGTAGTTCTATATAAACTTTTCAGCGATTTCCGGTAACCGGAAGTGGAATTTGTTTTTTACTTTTGTTTTTGTCAAAAGCCGATAGTTTAGTACTGTTTTAGATAGATAAACGACCTTTCAAATATAAGTAAAAAATCTAATTCTCTGCCTTCTTTAAAAAAAAATTAGTAATTTCTGTTGACCGGAAGTAGGCCTAGTACTTTACGCTATTTCCGATTTCTCAAAAAAAAACATGAATTTATACACACCTTGTTTGCTGTTCACTTGGTGTGCAATTATATTTTCTACGAGATCCTATCCTTTTTAAAAAAAAATTATTAAAAATTGATTTAAAATCATGTGTATATCCCGCATTGCATTCCCCGTAGTGTTATATAAGAATATTCGCAAAAGTTTATAGGAGATCACTCCCGCTTTATTTATTTTTTCAGCCCCCAAGCTTTACAAGTTTAGTAGCATATTGCAAGACAGGTTTGTAATATTCCGGTACTTTCAAAGATCCAGCTTGTGACTACATGTTTTTTAAATGCTAGTCGTATATTAACATTGTATGACTGATATGTTCTGTTTATACACTGTCTTTTTAGATTGGACGATTTCACTATGGCATCACCACCCAGGCAAAAAATTACGCTGTTATTGACTGGCAAGGTTGGCTATGGCAAAAGTGCATGCGGTAATTCTATTCTAGGTCGGAAAGCTTTTCAAGCCGATAACGGTTCTAAGCTGTGCACTTTTATGATTAATGAGAGAAGTGGAGAACGTGATGGTACCTTGGACGTTAGAGTTATCGACACGCCCGGCGTGATGGAGCTTGATGAAAAACAAGAACTTATAAACACAACTATAGAGATCCCGAGTGTAATGAGCGCCTGTCCAGAAGGAATACACGCAATTTGTTTAGTTTTAAAATATGACAATATATTTACTTCAGAAGACAGTCAAGCTGTTAGTAAAATTAAAAAGATATTTGGTGAAAACTTTCTTACAAATCACGGAGTTATTATAATGACTGGTGGAGATATGCTTGAAGCAAAGGATGGCAGAGAAGAGGCTACATTTCAACAGTGGTTTGAGAGACAGCCAGGTGAATTACAGAAGCTAATTATTGAATGTGGGAACAGAGTGGTGTTGTTTTATAATATAGGGACACAGTTTGTAAAGAAACGGAAAGAAGCCGTGGATCAATTATTAAACATGGCCATGGAAATAAGTAAAAATAGATTGTATACACAGGATATGTTTAAACGCAGTTTTCTGGTGCGCGAAGTAGAAATTTTACATCTGAAAGTACCAAGGCTACGTTTATCTATGAAAAACAGTTTGGAAGAAATGAAATCAGATATCTTTCAGTTGATACATAGAGATATTGTAACCGAAAGCGATTTAAATAGATTAAAGATTTCCAATAAAAATATTCTTGAAAGAATTATTGATGAACGTAAGGATGCAGACATACCAACGCAATTAATCGACCATGTTGAAATTATTCATAGAAATTTAATTGTATTCGATGTGAAATTAAAAGTGGAAATGCAATTGTTTCAAGTTATTAAAGTATTAGATAGACTTCTAGATACACCAAGAAGAAGAGTTGAAAATACAAAAAGATCTACTATCAACGTTGGACATAGCAAAAGTGCCAGTGGGTGTGATGCTTCTCTAAAGGATCGCAGTACTCAATCGTTTACTGACAAGACCATGGGCGAATCTGCAACACGGAGCAGTTCAAAGGTATAATGCTCAAAATATTTTCCATCCTGGTTATGCCAGGGTTGGTATTTCGCTTACCGTCGTTTGGTTCTTGAACTAAATATTTAATTCCCAGGATTTCTAGTATTCAATAAATAAAAACAAACTTTCAACACACTTTTTTCTTCCTAAGGATCGTTAAATACATATTTTAACATATTATAACGCAAAATGATCATCCATTGTTAATGAAGAAACTATGTTTTAATTATTTTTGCATTAAAAAGGAAGCCATTAAGATATTTTGTTTTAAATTATCATTTTCTAGGATTAGTAAAATAGAATATTAAATCGTCATCCACTTTATAAGGTACACATGAAAGGGCCTACCATTTTTATTCTTTCATTCAGTTCGTTCTAAGCTCAGCCAATGCACTCCACACAAAAAATATCTCTATATCTGAGCAGTGTTGTTCAAAGACTGAAGAGTCACATCTCGTTGTTTGGTATCACGCGAATAGAATACAGGAAAATTATTATTCGGGGGTTAGAACACACTATTTATTGATATGAACTCTACCTGTGCTTATGGCGTGTCTATTGTTTTGACAGTTATATTACGATTTATCCATTACCTTTGATAAAAGCTCTAATATAAATATTTTTCTACTTCAAAGTCATATATTTCCGGAAAAAAATGTTGATTTTAGTTTCTTTAATAGGTATTGGTAGCCTATGTTATTTTAAATGTGTCGGATTTTTAGCTATTTGGTTATTTCTTTGCTTTGTCACTAATTTCGCTCAACGTGTAGTAAAGCACATTGAGTTTTGAACAATAACTATTTTATAAATTATTTTTTCCAAACAAGTAAAGTATAACATTAAAATACCTTTAATATATAGTCCTATAATTCAAGCGAAACTGGCTGGTTTTAAATATTTCCCGACATCAACGCCATATAACACCGAAACATGATGATTTATGATTTGTTTTTTATGTCTGTAAAAAATTATCTGTAATAAAATTTAATTTCTTTGTTTTCTTTAATTATAGAGGGAGGAAACCAAAAGCAAACGAATTACTCTCGCGATGGTTGGAAAAACAGGAAATGGCAAAAGCTCAACAGCAAACTCTATTTTACAACTTGATGCTTTTAAAAAATCTGACGATTTAACATCGTGTACATATCTGACCATGTCTGCTTCTGTTAAACGTAAAGAATTAGAAATAAAAGTTGTAGACAGTCCAGGGTATATGGATCCAGATGAGAAAAGAGAAATAGACAACATTGATATCCAAATACCTGGAATAATGAGTGTCTGCTCAGAAGGTATTCATGCAATGTTGTTAGTTTTTAAGTATGGAAATAGGTTCACAAAAGAAGAATTCGATACTGTGTGTAAAATAAAAGAAATGTTTGGCAAAAATATACTGAAAGATCACGGTATTATTGTTTTTACATTCGGAGAAAACTTTGATATGACTAATGAACAAATAGAAGACAGAGGTGAAGATCCGATCACGTTTGAAACTTGGTGTCGCAAGCAAGATGGTGCAATACAAAACTTATTTACAGAATGCGATAACAGGATTGTACTTGTTTATAATAGTGTTTTAGGACGGTTTAAGGAAAAGAATAAAGAGTCAGTGAAACAGCTTATGAATATTGCTGTCGAAATGAGAAAAAAAGGCGCCTACACGAACGAAATGTTTGAAAAATGTAAATTGGAACGAGAGAAGATAATTGTAAAATATGAATTATTAGAACTTGATATTTCGTTTCAGCGTAAATTGGATTTCTTGATCCAACATATTAACAAGTTTAAACAGTCTAATACCATGACGGAAGATGATCTGATTCAGCTTAAACGGCGCGGTAAAGATTTGTTGAATAAAGTTGATACAATTTCTAAAGATACTCGGTTAAAGAATATCTTAAAAGAAAAAGTCAACAAGATTTTAAAACACTTAGGAGAAATAAATTTAAATCAACCAATAGCGGAACAGATGATGTCACTTTTAAAGTCATTGGACACTCTCAAAAACCCACCAATACCTGTTGAAACCGGGGCTGCCATTTTAGCCAGATTAATTAATATTGTAAGGGCTACTTCACAGGCTCTTGGTTTCGGTAGTTTATCTTTTACTGATAGACTTTTACACGGAATTCTTAGTAACATGAATTCAAAGCCAAAAGTGAAGTCTGCGTGATTGTGCTGTCCATTGGCGTAGCCAGGAATTGGTCATGGGAATTGGTCATTGGTCATATATATATATATATATATATATATATATATATATATATATATATATATATATATATATATACATATATATATATATATATATATATGTGTGTGTGTGTGAGTCCATGGGAGGGGTTATAACCCCCCTAACCCCCCCCCCTTGCCTACGCCACTGGTGCTGTAGAGTCAGCGTCTGCGCGATAACTACACACATGATTTTGTTATAATTTAAACATAGATATATTTTTTGCAGCAAAATTCTTTGTATTTTAGTTTTAGGTTTTGAAACGATTGCTATATTGTTTGCTAATTAATTTTTCCCGAGAGATTTCTTTTATCAGAACTAAAGATTGATTTTCAGCGTCAAACTGATCTTTCAACTCAGGAAATCTAATAACAGACAGAATAACATGACAGAAAAAGATTTCATTAAACTAACAAAAAGTACTGGCAAACAGTTGTTGGAATTAGATGAAATAGGTAACATTTCACAGGATAACAACTTTCACATAAGACTTAAGAGCATGCAATATAAAAAAGAAAAAATAGATTTGAAAAAAAAAACCTATCCAAGAACAGCTGAAACCAATTTTAGAGATGTAGCAGATGCTTAAAAATCCGGCTATTTCTGTACCTGATGCATCTACAATTATAAGCTATTTATTACTAGCAGCAGGGTTCGCTTTTACTATTGCAACTGAAGGATCAGCGTCAGCGATAAGTGCAATTGGATTACGTGTTGGCGGAGCATTAGGGATTTACACAATGGTCGATCACTTGCTAAACAAGTTTAAAAAACAGGTGAATGCCATTCTTTATGTTGTGTATAATAAGCCTAAAGTGTGTATTGTAGAATGCCGAAGGGTTTTACTTTAGTGACTTTTTTTCTACAGCTATGCTTACTTTGTAGCGGTTTTGAAGTTTGAGGTAAAGTTTGTATTTAATTAATGTTTACTTTAAGCTTTAAATTATTTGAATGTTTTAAATTTGACCGATATTTAGTTTTCCATAAATATATCCAAACATTAATGAACATTTTATAGTAAAATATTGCCATTTTAAATGATTGTTAAAAAATATTTCACATTTTACAAACGAAATCCTATGATCATATTAAAGATACAATGTTTATATGTTTTATTATATTACACTAGGTTAGTGTGTGCCCATATATTAGAACTTCTTATACTTAATCCAGACATGTATCTCAAATATGCTATCAACATATTTTAAAATTATGCCAATATAAAATTATGATTGATGTTGAAACAGCTACTTTTGTTACATTTGCATTTATTGTTATACTTATATTTAAGAACAAATGCATATAATGTATTCATTTATCAATATTAACTGTGAATAAATTTCACACATACACACACACACATATATATATATACATATATATATATATATATATATATATATATATATATATATATATATATATATATATATATATATATATATATATATATATATATATATATATATTATGTATATAATGTAACTTGTGTTTGATTCTTTACCATTATTTTCATACTGCACAATTAAAATACTTGTTTTTTATGTGGGCAATTTAGAAATTTTAACTAGTAATATAATATGCAGCTTTCGCTTTATTAAAGACTGACATGTAAGTTGAAATTGCTTTAAGAGAATAAAATATATATAGATTAGTGGAATTTTGTTACTTTTTATAGTGTGCAGTGCTTTATATTAAAGAAAATTATATTGTTTTCGCTAAAATTATCTTTGTTTATTCATAAATATATTTGAAATAGATGATTTACCACAAGTTTAATTTGCTTTATAATTGTTGCAAAAGGTACCAACTTTTTTATATAGGGTTACAATCTGACAATTGCTACCGTTCTATCCTTGTGGAAAATGTCGTTAATAATTTATTCAACTTCGTTGAAACGTTACCTGAAAATTAAAGCATATTACACTAGCTGATATAAACGTCTGAAACTTCCCAATTATAAAGTCAGCGATGCATAAGATTTATCTGCTAAAATCGCACAAAAAAATTATGAACTTCATCAAGATTCGTTTTTGAAAAACGCTCAAGATTCATTCATTGGTCTAATCACGACCAACAATTTTAGTATAATAGTGAAAAAAACAACATAGGATGATCCAATTTAGGGAGGCATTGTAAACTGTAAACTATTTATCTACTGCTTCAAAGCTCATATTTGACGCTAAAACCATTAGAGCTATCTTTAACAACGATAAAAGTATATTTTGGAGTAATTTAGTCCATAATAGACTAGCGACTAAAACCCAGCAGGATGCTAAAAGTGTTCAAACGAGAATAATAACAATTGTAATGATTTAGTTGAACAGATTTAATTATTACGTTCTTTCAACAATAGATGGAAATACTTTTCAACTCTCTTTATGTAACAAAGCTCAAGCTACATATATCAGAAGTGGGACTTAGCGGTGTACCGTTGTCATGGCTCAATAATATTCAAATCCTTACCTATATCAGTTTTGTTTTGTTAATTTTTTACAAGACTTTATAAGTGAATGTGCATTTAATACACGGATCATATGATAAAATAATGTTTTAATGACGAGGTCAGTGAAAGGTTCATCAACCCAATCAGTCTTTTAAAGATTTGCTTAGCATTGTCAGGGCTAAAACATTCAGATCCTATGGATACTTTACAAGAACCAGCGGCTTTTCGAATATTCGAATACAATCCTGCAAAGCATAGTGTGGTGTGTGTGTGTGTTTGTGGATGGGGGTGGTGGTAACAAATTTTAAAAATGGTTGGATAATATCAGGGACTGGACCAGATCGTCTTTTGTAGACTGTCTGAGGGCATGAGATGCATGGCAAGGCATTGGGGAAGATGCAACCATGGTGTCCCAACAACAGTCCAACAGATGTAGAAGATAGGAGGATAGGATAGCTGCTCTACACAATGTAGTCATCTCAATGTTTGAAAACGTTTGATACTACTGGGTTCAATAGACAGATTTTAGATGTATACACCTGAATTATAATTTAAGTCTGGTGTTTTGTGAACCTATATACTAATAGACATTAAATATGACAGACGAAATTCAGAACTTCTTGTGGCATAAGATATCAAGTTATAACTTGTTTTAACAATAGAAGGTGTAGCCGATGTGTCAAAAACAAAAAATCAAATCACTGATGTGCCTAATGTATTGAGCCATACATTAAAACAAACAAAAAACAACGTTTTTATGATAACTATATCAACTTTATTGGTTAAGAAATAAAATAAAATTACACACATTACAGGCTTTAAAAAAACAATAATTAGAAAAGATTGAAATTTGAAAATACAGATGACGTTTAAATTAAATAATAAATTTTTAGGATTCTAATTATTCATTGACCCCTGTTTATATCGGGACTGCATTTGTAAGATAACCATAATGTACGTGTTTAAATTGTTCTTCTTAAACAAGCCAATTACACGTATTTAAATCTCAGAAAAACATATATTTAACAACAGTAAATCAAATCGTCCAAATGTTAAAGTTAACTATGAAATAAACTTTTTAAAAAGCAACAATGTAAAATTATCGTTGCATTGGCTTAATTATGATACATTATAATATTTTTTGTTATTATTTAATATTATGCTGACAGGGACAGAACATAACATACATACATCATTACATGTCTATATCTAACTAGCGTACCCGTCCCAGCGCGTTGCCGCGAAAATAGAATAAAGTCCGACAAAATATATAAGAAGGGTTACATCCATGAGTTACAAACTCTATATTCTTAGACGCGTGATCTTGTTTTTTAAAAGTGAGTTATTTAAATGTAAACAATGCCTGCGCTTGGATCTTAAGTATCGTGACACGGTTTACCTACACTACCGCATAAAAACCTTGAGTGTACATTAATCACTCACCGAAATAATGAGCTAGAACACACTTCGGTGACTAAATGAACTAAAAGTGACACAAATGAAAAGGATTTTTTTCTTTAACACGTGAAAAAAATTATTTGTCGTGTTTTAAACATCAATGTGACTGATGCAATATGTTAGGTTACTAATGGTCTATTATTAGATACTCGAACTCAATTTCTGATTGGATTGTCTAAAAATAGATGCTAATTGCATCATTCGCAAAGTGGCGAAACTGTTTGGATTTTTTTTACGGACAAAAAGAAACATCCCAGTTAATAATCTAACCTTGGTTAATTTTTTCTGGTTATTAAAATAAAACGTATAACATGGCCCTCAGTGGCCCATGTGAGCTTTTCGGGCAGAAACAGCAATTTTTATTTGTAGCAAAATCTCACCCTACGAGGGCGCCGGAGGACATGCCTGATTTAATTTAGTGAGTGTTTGTAACGCCCCATCCTATCACACTGTGTAGACCGAACTTGGTCGCCATAGCGCTCACGGGAAAGACCAGGGCGCCAAATCGCATCATGTCGGGGGGGGGGCCGCAAATGCAAAACTAAATCCTCCCTCCCCCCACCCACCCCCACACCAGAAAACTGATCGGAAGTATTCATGAATTCCCTAAAGTTTTATGGCACCCGGATAAACTGTGTCAAACCGCAATCGTCTTTTAATTTATATACCGTATAGAGTCCTTGCAAACACGTGACCTAAATCACGTGATACCTACGCCCGCCGCCACAGTGGTGTACATCAGACGTAAACACAATCAGCTGTTCGCCAGCGCTGGACGTGTTCACCAGCGCTGGACGTGTTCACCGTATGTAAAGAATCGCGCCCGCGGAAAAGGAAAAATATGTTAAAAACTTGAACTCTTAGGAATTGAAGATCCTTATACAGTTATTGACAGTTTCGTGGATAATATAAATATGTGGCCGAAATTTCTAAATAAAAATACTGTTAGCAATACCGTTTGCGTTTAGAGTTTAAGTAGACGAAGCTGATCAAATGCAGTAATATATTAGAGGTTATCTACTGTAGCAAACGTGAG